TGTAGGGCTACAGGGCCCCCCCGGGCCCCCCCCGGGCACCCGGGCCCCGGGGACCCCCGGGCACCCGGGCACCCGGGCGTGCAGCGAGAATCGGCGACAAACCTAACCTGGCCATATGACTCCGCTAGGACCCCTCTACAGAGGCAAGCTCGGATTGGGGCAAGACCGAGGCTCCACCCCCCGACGGGGGCCTCTCCGAAGAAGGGGCCCTGCAGACCAGCTCCTGCAGCCCAGGGCGCGCGAGCTGAGAACCCAGACCCCCGACGTCGTGATTTTTTCACAACGTCGACCCCCAGAGGTCTGGACCCCTTCCCCGGGACCAGTTTTTCGTCCTGGGTCGTTTTTTGACAGCCCCGAGGCCCGGGAAGGGCCCCCGGAGGCCGAAAGTTAGGAAAAACCTCCCGTCATGATTTTTTCATTACTCGAGGGGGTCAGGGAAGCCTGCGGCGCTCCCGCCTGGCGCGAGCCTCGCGCCTGCTGGCCTCGATCCGTGGGGCGTGCTGCTCTCCGGTCAGGGCTGGGGGGGGGGAGGGCGAGGGACGGACGACGGAGGTGGGAGGAAGCTGGAGGAGGCGGGGGGGCGGGGGGCGAGGAGGCCCCAGACCCCCTCGAGTCATGAAAAAATCACGACGGGAGGTTTGCTATGTGTTCGGCCTCCAGGGGCCCTTACCGGCCCTCGGGACCGTCAAAAAACGACTCGGGGTGAAAAACCGGTCCCGGCGAATAGGTCTGGACCTCTGGGGGTCGCGTCATGAAACAATCATGACGTCGGGGGTCTGGGGCTGGAGGCGGAGGGGGAGGAGGGAAGAGGGAGGAGGGAAGAGGGAGGAGGGCGGGAGGAGTTGAGGTGGTGCGGGGCGCTGAGTCTTCTCAGAGCGAGGACCCCGCACCGCAGCATGGTTCGAAGGGTAATGAGGACGCCGCGTGTCTGGGACTTTTGTGGGCCCCGGAAAAGGCAAGGCCGCTTTTTTCATTGCTTCCAAAAAAATGTCCTTTGAAAATGAAAAAAAAAAAAAGGCAAGCAAACGGCGACCGGAAACAGCAAAAAACGGCTCCAGGATTGGAACTGGAGCCAAAACGGGTCAAAAAACGGCGACGGAACCAGTAAACAAACGGCGTCGGAACCAACAACAAAAACGGCAAAACGGAACCCGTAAAAAAACGGCCCTGTCGTTTCCAGGGCCCACTAAGGTCTGGGAAACGAAGACCACGACAAAGACACGCAGAAGGGTATGTGTCGACCATGGGAATCGTCCATCTTGGTCGTCGATTCATGGATCCTACTCGCGATATCGGCGACGGCCAGCATGGACCCTGACCAAGATCGGCGTCGACGACCCCTGAGGTCCGACATCAAGCCTCACAACAAAAAAACTCGGCCCGAGCCCTGGACCCCCTCTTTCTGCTGCATCTGCCGAGCTGGATCGATCTGTGAGGGCCCCAGGGTCCGAAACGAGGCAGCATCGCGCGCCCAGAAGAAAACGTGTCGCCAGGATCTCGGGGTGCTGCCCTGTCTGTCCCTGTTTGTAGCCTTGCATCCCTGACGGACGCATGAACAAAAGTAGACCGAAAAAATTTAGCTTGAACGTGAATACGTAGACAGGCAGATGACGATACGAAACATGCCCCGGCTCGTATCGCATATGCGGCCCACGCCCCGGATCTGGCAGCCCTGTGCGTGCAACAGTTCCCCCAAATTGAGGCGCTTCCCCCGAGGCCTCGAGTCTTGGCCATGGTCGTCGTGCCTCTTCCCTCGAGTCAAGGAGCCCCAGACCTCTGACGCCATGTTTTTTTTTCGCAGCGCGGACGCCTGGAGATCTCGACCCATGCCCTGCGACCGGCTTCGCATCCTGACCGAGTCGGGGAGGCACGGACCCGGGTCAATGCAAGGCCCCAGCCAGGCGGGCTTCGCAAGATCCTGCAAGATCCAACCGGATCCCGCAGGATCCTGTGCGCAGGCCCAGGTCAGGGCAACCCTGGCTTTGCAAGATCCTGCAAGATCAGGCGCTCTGGCCGACCCCGTTTGCATGGACCTGCATCTGAGGGCTCCCGTCTGAATCGCTGTTCGATGGCCCAAAGGCCATGACATGGTTTCCCTGGAGGCCCAAAGTGGCCGGACACCTCCAGTCATGCTCTTGTTCAGGACCCGAGGCGTCATCTTGGCCATGGTCGTTGAGGGGCAACGATGGGAGGGGGGGCTGGCATAAGTAGGGATAGAAGCATCGACCTGGAATTGGCGGTGCATCGCCGATAGATCGACAACAGGCCCCCGACAGCGAATATCCGCACGTTCCTGGGCGGGGTGGGGCTATCAGACCCCTCTCGGCGATCCATAGGCGATTAGGGGTCGATGCGTTTTGGGCTTTGGGTGCTTCGGGGGGGCCTCGACCCCCCCCGAGGTCCGCCCCGTGCCGTCGACGAGGACGAGGACGAGGACGACGAGGACGGGGGAGGCCCGAGGGCCCCCCCGGGGGGCCCCGCGGGGGGGTTCTGAGGGGGG